ATTTGTTGGTTCATCTTTTTCACAATAATCGCTTTAATTTCATTTTCCTGCTTATAAGGAAGATGCTAGAAACTGAAATTGATACTACCTATGCAGATAAGAATGTTGTTGAATGCTACTTCAAGCATAAACAAAGCGGAGGATTCCCCTTAAAAAACAGAATAAATTGTAGCAAGTTCGAGCTGCAAGCAAAAACTGCTTCTATTCTGTTCTTGCAAGCTCTACTCAGACAGCACATTCAAAGCAGACTTCAGCCTTTCCCAATCACAGCAATGGCAAAAATATTCAAATTGGCCTAGGAAGAAAAAGTTGTATGAAGGATCACCAAACATTGAGGGGGAAAGAAGGAAGAATGTACACAGGATGCATTCAGTAATGTTTATTGAAATTCTTTCATACAAATATCTCACAATGATTCCAATGCATTTGCCTACTGTCTTCAAACTGATGTTTTACAATGGCACAGACACTTGAAACTGCCTGTGTTGGGTGGAGTTCTGTTGAATGCTACTTCAAGCACAAACAAAACAGAGGGTTCTCTTTAGAACAGAGTGAATTAATGCAAATAGGGGTTACTAAAACACACAGATTCTCTTCTGTACTTGGAAGCTCTTCTAAGACAGCATGTACATAGTTACATATACACATATACACAGTTCAGCCCCTTCAACATGACATTGCAGGCACATAATTTAAATGTTGGTTGCAAGAAATACCTTAGAGTAAGTAAGCACAGAAAAGCTTGAGGAAAACTAAAATTGTTATGTGGTTTCATTCACCAATGTTTTCTTGAAATTCCTTGGTCAACCTTTTTCACAATACTCACTTCAATTGCATTTTCCCACTTCCTAGGAACTAATGTTTACACTGGCATAAACTCTTACAACTGATACTGAATCTGCTGGTGCTTGCAGGAGTTCTGTTGAATGTTCCTTCAAGCACAAACAAAGCAGAAGGTTCTATGTTAGAACAGATGAACTCATGCCAGTACAAGCTGATAAAACACATGGATTATTTCTGCACTGGAAAGCTGTTCTAATCCAGCATATTCAAAACTCAGTTCAGCGATTCAACAACCTATTGAAAGCATATTATTTAAATGGAGGTAACAAGAAAAACCTTGGGGCTAGACTCACCAAAATTTGAGGGAAATAAGGAAATTTTATGGGGATTCTTTCCCCAAAGTTTCTTCGAAATCTATTGGTCTTCCTTTTTAACAATACTCACTTTAATTGCAGTTTCTCGGTTGCTATGAACTGGTGTTTAAAAATGGCATAGGTGATTGAAATTTAAACTGAATCTGTCAGTGCAGGGAAGAATTCTGTTGACTGCTATTTCAAGCACAAAGAAAACACAGGTTCTCCTTTAAAACAGAGTGAGTTCTATCAAGATGCAGCTGCTAGCACAAACTGCTTCTATTCTTTTCTTGCAAGCTCTACTGAGCCAACACATTCAAAGCAGACTTCAGCCTTTCCCAATCACAGTGATGGCAAAATACTCAAATTGGTCTAGGAAGAAAACGTTGTATGTAGGCTTAAAAGGCCAAGGATCGTCGTCGGAGATTAAAACGCACACACACAGATAGCAGTGACAAAGATGAAGCACCTATTGTAAGCTGGTGTTAGCTTATATAGAAAGTGAGAGTCAGTTATCTTAAACCAGGAAGCTCCCRGGGCCAATCATAGTAAAGGTCAGGTCATCACCTATGGTGCATGCATGTCCGCCCTGCATAAGATTCATGGGGGGCACGAGCTGTCCATGATCACAGAAGACGGGAGGACCAATTAGAAAATTTTCAAAACAACTTGTTATCCGCCCACTGGCAACTTGCCTGCCGCCATGTTGCATTAGGGGCTCCTTATCTGAAGGGCCCATGGAGTTCTAGCTGCCCACTGGCAATTTGCCCAACACCATGTTTGAAAGGCCCAGGGAGTTCTCAGGGAGACTCCCAACAAGGCTCACCAAACATTTAGAGGAAGGAGGGAAGAATGTACACAGAAAGTGCTGAGAGCCATAGCCAAGGCGGAATGGCCCCTGGAATTTTGCCAATAGTATTGGTTGAGAGGCAAGCCATTAAGATGATGATTGATTCGGTTGTATATTAGACCTTTACTGTCCGCCTCGGCCTGCTACTTTGGAGTTCTCGTGCTACTTTGGAGTTCTTGTGGGGATTCCCAGAGAGTTCCCATTGGTTGGAGAAGTGCGGGAGGAGGGATTTCCAGAGGAGGGATTTCCGGTTGGTGGTTCCTGGAGGAGCCACGTGGTGTTCGGGAGAGTTCCCAGGGAGCGTGTGTGGAGTGTGCTGGTGGAGTTCAGAAATAAAGTTTGTTCCTGCTTCAGTGGCTTGTGATTTGTGCCCAGCCAGACTTCGGCAAGAATGCATTCAATAAAGTTTATTGCAATTGTTTTCTACTACTTTCTGGAAGATCGTTTCCAATGCATTTTCCTGCTTCCTTTGAACTGATGTTTTACAATGGCACAAAGGCTTTAAACTCAATCTGAACCTGCCCATGCTGGGTAGAGTTCTGTTGAATGCTACTTGAAGCACAAACAAGGCAGAGGTTTCTCCTTTAAAAACAACTTAATCAATGCAAGTAGAAGCTGTTACAAGACAGAGATTGTTTTCTGTACTTGGAAGATATTCTAAGCCTGCATATACAAAGCACAGTGCAGCCCTTCAATATCACATTACGGCACATAATTTATATGGTAGTAGCAAGAAATACCTTGGAGTAGGTTTACCAAATCTTGAGGAAAAACAAAAAATTGCTATGTGTATTGATTCACAAAAGTTTTTGAAATTTGTTGGTCCAATTTTATCAAGTACTCTTTCAATTGCATTTTACTGCTTCCTACAAACTGATGTTCAACAATGGCACAGATACTTGAAAATTAAACTGAATGTGCTGGTGCTGGGAAGAATTATGTTGAGTGCAACTTTAAACACAAACAAAGCAGAGGGTTCTCTTTTAAGACAGAGTAAATTGTAACAAGTTGAAGTTGTGAGCACAAACTGCTTCTATTCTGTTTTTGTAAGCACTACTCAGCCAGCACATTCAAAGCAGACTTTTCCAATCACTTCCATGGGAAAATATCCAAATTGGTCTAGTAAGAAAAAGTTGTGTGTAGGATCACCAAACATTGAGGGGAAAGACGGAAGAATGTGAATAGGATGGATTCAGAAAAGTTTCATTAAAATTCTTTCCTACACCTTTCTCACAATGTTCTTTTCCAATGCATTTGCCCACTTCATAGGAACTGATGTTTAACAATGGCAGAGACACTTCAAACTGAAACTGAATCTATCCATGCTGGAAAGAATTTTGTTGAAAACTACTTCAACCACAATAAAAAGCAGAGGGTTCTTCTTTAGAAGAGATGGAATTAATGCAATTAAAAGCTGATAAAATCCACGTATTATATTCTGAAATTGGAAAACTTATAAGCAAGCATATTGCAAATCCTTCAGTTCTTCACCATCACACTGTATGCACATTATTTAAATGGTGCAAGAAAAACCTTGAGACTGGGCTCACCAAAACTTGGGGGAAAAGAGGGAATGTTAAGGCAAAACGTTCCTTGAAAATTGTTGGTCCACCATTTCCACAATACTCATTTCAATTGCATTTTCCTGCTTCATATGAACTGATGTTAAAATGAAACAGAAGCTTGAAACTGATACTAAATCTGCCCATTCAGGGAAGAATTATGTTAAATGCTACTTCAAGCACAAATCAGAGGGTTCTCCTTTAGAAGAGAGTAAATTCTAGCAAATTGAAGCTGCTAGCACAAATGCTTCTGTTCTGTTCTTCCAAGGCTTACTCAGACAGCAAATTCAAAGCATAGTTTGGCTTTTCCCCATCATAGAGATGGCAAAATACTCAAATTGGTCTAAGAATAAAAAGTTGTTTGTTGGCACACCAAATATCGAGGGGAAAGAAGGCAGTATGCATTCAGTAAAGTTTCATTGGAATTCTTTCCTACATCTTTCTCACAATGTACCTTTCCAATGCATTTGTCCACTTCCTATGAACTGATGGTTAATAATGGCATAGAAGCTTGAAATTGAAACAATCTGTCAGGGATGGGAAGAGTTCTGACGAATTCTACTTCAAGCACAAACATCACAGAGAGTTCTTTAACAGAGTGAATTGTGCAAAAAGAAGCTGTTAAAACACGTGAAATCTCTGCACTGGGAAGCTCTTCTAAGACAGCATATTCAAAGTGTGGTTTAGCCCTTAAACATCACATAGCAGGCACATTATTTAAATGGTGGTAGCAAGAAATACCATGGGACGAGGCTCACCAAACCTTGAAGAAATAGAGAGAATGTTAAGGCAATTCATTCACCAAATTTTCATTGAACTTCATTGGTCCACCAGTTCATTTCAATTGCATTTTTTTTTTTTGCTCCCTAAAAACTGTAGCTTAATAATGGCACAGATGTTTGAATCTCAAACTAAATCTGTTTATACTGGGAGGAATTCTGTTGAATGTTTCTTAAACCATAAACAAATCAGAAGGTTCTCCTTAAGAACAGAGTGAATTCTAGCAAGTAGAAGCTGCAATACAAACTAATTCTGTTTGGGATTTGCAAGCTCTACGCAGCTAGCACATTCAATGCAGACTTCATTTTTACTTCATTGCTGTAATGGTAAAATATCCAAATTAGTCTAGGAAGAAAACGGTGTATATAGGCTCACTGAAAATTGAGAGAAAAGAGGGAAGGATGTGAATAAGATGCATCCAGTAAAATTTCATTGAAATTCTTTTCWACACCTTTCTCACAATGTTCCATTCCAGTGTATTAATCTGCCTCCTTTGAACAGATGTTTAACAATGGTACAAACTCTTGAAACTGAAACTGAATCAGCCCTTGCAGGGAGAATTCTTGTGAATTCTATTTCAAGTGCAAACACAGCAGAGGTTCTTATTTAGAAAAGAATGACTTCTAGCAGATGAAGCTGCAGGCACAAACTGCTTCTCTTTTGTTCTTGCAGGCAATAATGAGCCAGCACATTCAAAGCAGACATCAGCCTTTTCTCATCACAGTGATGGCAAAATATTCAAACTGGTCTAGAAAAAAAAAGTTGTTTGTAGGATCAGCAAATATTTGAGGGGAAAGAGAGAAGAATGTAAACAGGATGCATTCAGAAAATTTTCATTGGAATTCTCTCCTACAAATTTCTCACAATGTTATTTTCCAATGCATTTGCCTGCTTCCTTCAAACTGATGTTTAACAATGGCACAGACCTTTCAAACTGAAACTGAATCTGTCCATGCTGGGAAGAGTTCTATTTAATGCAACTTCAAGCACAAAGTAGTGGTTTCTGCTTTTGAATAGATGAACTTATGCAAGTATGAGCTGTGAAAACACACAGATTATATCAGCACTGGGAAGCTCTACTAAGCCAGCATATTCAAAGGGGGATTCACCATTCAACATCACATTGCAAGCACATAACTTAAATGGTGGTAGAAAAAAAAAAAAAAACTTTGGACAAGGTTCACTAAACTTTGTGGGGAAAAATGGAATGTTAAGAGAATTCCTCTCCAATGTTTTCTTGACATTTGTTGGTCCACCTTTTTCACAATACTCACTTAATTGCAGCTTCCTGTTTCCTATGAACTGATGTTTAATAATGGCACAGATGCTTCAAACTGAAACTGAATTTGCATGTGCAGGGAAGAATTCTATTGAATGCCACCGTAAGCACAAACCAAGCAGAGGTTGTCCTTTAAAACACAGTGAGTTCTAGCAAGTTGAAGTTGATAGCACAAACTGCTTCTGTTTTGTTCCTGCAAGCTCTACTGAGCCAGCACACTTAAAGCAGACATCAGCTTTTTACCATTATAGGGATGGCAGAATATTCCAATTGGTCTACAAATGAAAAGTTGTATTATATAGGATAACCAAACATTGAGTGGAAGAGGAAAAAAATGTAAACAGGGTTTATTCAGTAAAGTTTCAATGGAATTCTCTCCTACAATTTTCTCACAACATTGTTTTCCAATGCATTTTTCTGTTTTCTTCAAACTGGTATTTCACAATGGCACAAATGCTTGAAACTAAATCTGAATCTTTCCATGCTGGATAGAGTTCTGTTGGATGCTACTTCAAGCACAAACAAAGGAGAGGTATCTCCTTTAAAAACAAGTGAATTTTTGTAAGTAGAAACTGTTAAAATTCACAGATTTCTTTTCTGAACTGGGAAGATCTTCTAAACCAGCATATTCAAAGCAGAGTACAGCCCTTCAACATCACATTGAAGGCACAGAATTTACATGCTGGTAGCAAGAAATACCTTGGAGAAGGCTCACTAAAACTTGAAGAAAAAACAAAATTTTTATGTGGATTCATTCACCAAAGATTCCTAGAATTTTGATGGTTCACCTTTTTAACAATACCCACTTCAATTGCATTTGCCCGCTTCCTACAAACTGATGTTCAAGAATGGCACATTCACTTGAAACTGAAACTGAATTTGCTGATGCTGGGAAGAGTTCTGTTGAATGTTACTTCAAGCACAAACAAAGCAGAGGGTTCTTCTTTAGAACAGATGAACTCATGCAAGTACAAACTGTTAAAACACATGAATTATTTTCTGCACTGGGAAAATCATCTAAGGCAGCATATTCAAAGCAGGGTTCAGCCATGCAAACTCACATTGCAAGCACATTATTTAAATGATGGTAGCAAGAAAAATCATGGAACTAGGCTTACAAAACTCTGTGGGGAAAAGGGAATGTTACGGGGAGTCCTTCAAAATTTTCTTTAAATTTGTTGGTTTACATTTTTCACAATACTCCATCTAATTGCAGTTTCTGGATTCCTATGAATTGATGTTTAACAATGGTACAGATGCTTGAAACAGAAACTAAATCTGCCCATGCATGGAAGAATTCTGTTGAATTCTACTTCAAGCCCAAATAAAGCAAAAGGTTCTTTTTTTAGAACAGAGTAAATTACAGCAACTTGAAGCTGCAAGAACAAAGTTCTTCTATTGTCTTCTTGCAATCTCTTCTCAGCACAATCAAAGCAGACTTCAACCTTTCTTCATCACAATGATAGCAAAATATTCAAATTGATTTAGGAAGAAAAAGTTGTATGTAGGATCATAAAACATTGAAAGGAGACACAGAATAATGTGAATAAAATGTATTCAGAAAAGTTTCATGATTTTTTTCCTACACCTTTCTCACAATGTTTTGTTTCAATGGATTTGCCCAATTCATAGGAACTCATGTTTAATAATGGCACATGTGCTCACACTGAAACTGAATCTGTCTGTTCTGGGAAGAGTTTTGTTGAATGCTACTTCAACCACAAACGAAGCAAAGGGTTGCCCTTTAGAACAGTGAACTACTGCAAGTAGAAGCTTCTAAACATGTAGATTCTCTTCTACACTGGGAAGCTGTTCTAAGCCAGCCTATTCAAATCATGGTGCAGCCCTTCAATATCACATGGCAGCCACACTATTTAAATGGAAGTAGCAAGAAAAACTTTGGGACTAGGCACACCAAATTTGGGGGGAAAGAAGGAATGCTATGGGATTCATCCACCAAAGTTTCCTTGAAATTTGATTGTCCACCTTCTATGCAATACCSACTTCGCTTGCATTTTACTTCTTATTCTGAACTGATATTTAACAATGACATGGATTTTGAAACTGAAACTGAATAGATACATGCAGGGAATAATTCTGTTGAATGTTACTTTAAGCACATAGAAAGCACAGGGTCTCCTATAAAACAAAGTGAATTTTAGCAAGTTGCAGCTGCTAGCAAAAACTGCTTCTGTTCTGTTCTGGCAAGCTCTACTAAACCAGTACATCCAAAGTAGTCTTCAGCCTTTACAGATCACAGCAATGGCAAAATATTAAAATTGGCCTAGGAAGAAAAATTTCTATGTAGGATCACCAAACAGTGAGAGAGAAGATGGAAGAATATAAGTAGGGTGCTTTCAGTAATGTTTCATTATAATTCTTCCCTATAACTTTCTAACACTATTTCTTTGCAATGTATTTGCCAGCTTCCTATGAACTGATGTTTAACAATGGCACAAAATGTGAACCTGAAACTGAATCACCTATGATGAGTAGAGTTTGGTTGAATGCTACTTCAATCACAAAGAAAACAGAGTGTTCTCATTTAGGAAAAAAACTAATTCATGCAAGTAGAAAGTCTTAAAACACACGGGTTATCTTCTGAACTAGGAAGGTCTTCTAACTTAGAATATTCAAAGCAGGGTTCAGCCTCATATTGAACAGGTTCAAAATCATATTGCAAGCACAATATTTAAATATTGGTAGCAAGAAAAACCTTGAGACTAGGCTTACCAAATCTTATGGGTGAAGAGGGAATGTTATAGGAATTCCTTCACCAAAGGTTCCTTCTAACTCATTGACCTACCATATTCAAATTACTTCAATTTTCATTTCCTTCTTCCTGTGAAATAATGTTTGACAATGGCACAATGATTGAAACAGAAACTAAATTTGCCCTTGCACAGAAGAATACTGTTAAATGCCATTTCAAGCACAAAGAAAGCAGAGAGTTCTCCTTTAGAACAGAGTAAATTATAACAAGTGGAAGCTGCAAACACACAGTTCTTCTCTTCTGGTCTTGCAAACTCTACTCAGCCAGCACATTCAAAGTAGACTTCAGCCTTTCCCCATCACAGTGATAGAAAAATATTCAAATTGGTGTAGGAAGAAAAAGTTGTATATAGGATCTCCAAACATCCAAGAGAAAGTGGAAATAATGTGTATAGGATGCATTGAGAAAAGTTTCATTAAAATCCTTTTTAAAACCTTTCTCACAACATTCCTTTCCAATGTATTTGCTCACTTCAAAAGAACTGATGTTTAACAATGGCACAGAAGCTTGAACCTGGATCTGAATCTGCCCATGCTGGGTAGAGTTTTGTTGAAGGCTACTTTAACCGAAAAAAAAAAAAAAAAAAAAAAGAGAGAGAGAGAGAGAGGGTTCTCCTTTAAAAGATATTCAAATAATGCAGTTAGAATCTGTCAAAACCCATGGATTCTCTTCTTCACTGGAAAGTTCTTCTAAGCCAGCACATTCAAAGCTCTGTTTAACCATTCAACATCCCATTGCAGGTACATTATTTAAATAGTGGTTGCAAGAAAAACATTCAGACAAGGCTCACCAAACTTCGTGGGGAACATGGGAATTCCTCACCAAAGTATCCATGGTCCCCCTTTTTCACAATACTCACTTCAATTGCAACTGCTTCATACAAACTGATGTTTAACAATGGCAGAGATGCTTCTCAGTGAAACTGAATCTGCACATGCAGGGAAGAATTCTGTTGAATCCTACTTCAAGCACAAACCAAGCAGAGGTTCTCCTTTAAAACACAGTGAGATCTAGCAAGTTGAATTTGCTAGCACAAACTACTTGTGTTCTGTTCTTGCAAGCTCTGCTGAGCCAGCACATTCAAAGCAGACATCAGCCTTTTACCATTATGGGGATGGCAGAATATTCCAATTGGTCTAGGAAATAAAATTTGAATATAGTAGCACCAAATATTGAGTGGAAAGTGGAAAAAATGTAAACAGGATTTATTCAGTAAAGTTTCAATGGAATTCTGTCCTAAAATTTTCTCACAATGTTCTTTTCCATTGCATTTGCTTTGTTCCTTCAAACTGGTGTTTTACAATGGCACAGACTCTTGAAACTAAATCTGAATCCGTTCAGGCTCAGTAGAGTTCTATTAAATGCTATTTTAAGCAGCAACAAAGGAGATACCTCTCATTTACAAAGAAGTGAATTCATGCAGTAGAAGCTGCGAAAACACAAAGATTCTTTTCTGCCCTGGAAGCTCTTCTAAACCAGAATATTCAAAGCACGGTTTAGCCCTTCAACATCACATTGCAGGCACATAACTTAAATGGTGGTACCAAGAAATACCTTGGAGTAGGCTCAAAATACCTTGTGGGGAAAATTGTTATGTGGATTTATTCACTAAAGTTTTTGAGAAGTCTGATGGTCCACCTTTCTAACAACACACACTTTAATTAAATTTTCCAGCTACCTACAAACTGATGTTCAACAGTGTCACAGTTATTTGAAACTGTCACTGAATCTGCTGGTGCTGGAAAAAATTCTGTTGAATGTTACTTCAAGCACAGGATTCTCCTTTAGAACAGATGAACTCATGAAAGTACAAGTTGTTAAAACACATGTATTATCTTCTGCACTTGGAAGCTCTTCTAAGCCACCATATTCAAAGCAGGGTTCAGCCATGCAAACTCATATTGCAAGCACATTATTTAAATGGTGGTAGCAAGAAAAACCTTGGGACTAGGGTCACCAAAACTTGTTGAGAAAGAGGGAATGTTCTGTGGATTCCTTCACTAAAGTATCTTTGTAATTCATTGGTCCACCTTATTCACAATACTCACTTCACTTGTAGTTTCCAGCTTTCTATTAAATGATGTTTACCAATGGCACAGATGCTTGAAACACAAACTAAATCTGCCCATGCATGAAATAAGTCTGTTGAATGCTACTTGAAGCACAAACCAAGCAAAGAGTTCTCTTTTTAGAGCAGAGTAAATTATAGCAAGTTGAAGCAGCAAACACAAAAAACCTTCTATACTCTTCTTGCAATCTCTATGCAGCCAGCACATTCAAAGCAGTCTTCTGCCTTTCTCAATCACAGTGATGGCAACATGATCAAATTGGTCTAGGAACAAAACTTCATATGTAGGATCTGGAAACATCAAGGGGAAAGTGGGAATAATGTGAATAGGATGCATTGAGAAAAGTTTCATTAAAATTCTTTTCTAAATGATTCTCACAACGCTCCATTTCAATGCATTTGCCCACTTCATAGACACTGATTTTCAGGTGTCACAGAAGCTTGAATATGAAACTGAATCTGCTGGGTAGACTTCTGTGAATGTTACTTCAACCACAGAGAGAGGAGAGGGTTCTCATTTAGAATAGATGGAATTATACAATCAGAAGCCGCCAAAACCACAGATTCTTTTCTGCTCTGGGAAGGTCTTCTAAGCSAGCATATTCAAAGCTCTTTTCAGCCATTCAACATCCCATTCCAGTCACATTATTTAAATGGTGGTTGCAAGAAACACTTTGGGACTACACTCACCAAACTTGAGGGGAAACAGGGAACGTGAGAGGGATCCATTGGCCCAAGTTTCCTTAAAATTTGTGGGTCCACCTTCTTCAAAATGATCACTTCCCTTGCATTTTGCTGATTCTTTCGAATTGATGTTTTAACACAGAAGCTGGAATCTGAAACTGAATCTGCCCATACTGCTGAGATTTCTGTTGAATACTACTCCAACCACAAAGAAATTAGAGGATTCTCTTTTTGAACAAAGTGAATTAAAGCAATTACAAGCTCCAGAAACACAGAGTCTCTTGTGCTGGGAAGCTCTTCTAAGTTAGCGTATTTACAGTGCACTCTAAAGCCCTTCAATATCACATTGCAGTCATATTGCTTACATGGCAGTACCAAGAAATACCTAAAAACTAGACTCACCACAATAGGGAGGGAACAGAGGAATATTATGGTGATTGATTCACCAAAGTTCCCTTGATATTTTTTGATCCACCTTTTTCACAATGCTCACCTTAATTGCATTTTTTTTGCTTCATATTAACTGATGTTTAACCCTGAAACAGACATTTGAAAGTGAAAGTGAGTCTACACCTGCAAGGAAGAATTCTGTTGAATGATACCTTAAGAACATAAAACACAAACGGTTCTTCTTTAACACAGAGTCAATTCTAGCAAGTTGAATCTGCTATCACAAACTGCTTCTGTTCTGTTCTGCCAAACTCTGCTCAACCAGCACATTCAATATAGTCTTCAGCCATTTCACATTAGACCAATGGCAAAATGTCTAGGAAGAAAAAGTTGTATGTAGCATCACAGAACACTGAGGGGAAAGAGGTAAGTATGTCAAAAAGATGCATTCAGTAAAGTTTATTGGAATTCTTTCCTACAACTTTCTCACAATGTTTCTTTCCAATACCTTGGCCCACGTTTTGTGAACTGATATTGACCAATGGCACGGAAGCTTGAAACTGTGACTTAATCTACCTGTTCTGGGAAAAGTTCTCTTGAATTCTAC